CACAAGTATTTCTGTCACTGTCTTGGTATTGCTCACTTACAATCTTATTTTCTCTAGTAAGGAGAGTTCAAACAGAACACTACTTCGGTGTTATTCAAATGATAATTTAAACATCTCTTTAATTAGTATAAGTTGTGAGAGAACAAGTACTGGGATGTAATGTGCTATTTTAAGCCTGTCCTTGCCATGTCAACTTGTTTCTAATTTCACAGGCTTTCAAGCATACCTAGTTTTTTTAAAAATCGATATAAACATTATTATTCTAAGTACCATTATACACCTATGCTATAGAACATTCCTGATTATCAGCGCTTGGAAATATGGGCATTAGAAGTGATCAGCAAAAATCAGGAGATGAGCTGCAGCATCATCACACAGTTTAAAGTAAAACAGATGTACATACAGGTATTCTGCTCTGGGTTTTGACACTTAACAGCTGCCATTGCCAGACCAATGAATTTATAAATAAGAACTTTAAAAGAAATATAAATCTACTGCCTAATAGGCAAGTTGCAAGGATGCTTTTAAAAAAAGATGCTCTACTGATGAAACAGTAACACACTCTAGGAAATCAACAGTCACAGCAATGTACATTGAAGGAAGTCCTAGTTCATTAGTTTTGGCCTCACTGAACAACAGTGGTATTCAAGTATAACAGATTTAAGTGTCTCGGATTTAAAGTGATAACTCAGGATCTACCTGGGATCACTTTAAATCCGAGACTCTTAAATCTGTGATAATTAGTGGATCACTTTATCTCTACCTTGGAGATAAAGATATTTCACCTTGAAGCCCAGCAAACTCCCAGATGTACAATATCCAGTGATATGGTATTAACTGTACTATAAAACCCATGCAAATATTTAAATAACTAAATAAATAAAATTTAATATCTAGGATTCCTTAAAACCACTTTACTGAGGTGAAAAGTACTCTTTGATTTCAGTGGCAAGTCCATGTGCTTAGTTCTATCTGAAGCAAAGAAAGAGGGAAACAATTCCTCACATCCTTCACATTACACAGCTGTTAATCCAAAAGCAAAGCAAATAAAATGCACATCGACTTTTTGAAGCGGCAGCTCCAACCTTACTTCCATCCTAAGCAACTCACATACACAAGCTTTAAAAATCATCCATTATACAAACTGACAATCTGGCAACATGTTGGCTGAAGGAAAACACTTCCCACCCCTCCCAGTCCAATGCCCACAATCACCTTTCCTTGCTTGTTCTTCCCCTCCACTTCCCCACATTGCCTGTACTATTTATTTCCTTACTGAAAAATGGCTCAATGTGCCTCTGAGTTTTCTGCTATATTTGGGATATAACTAACTGCTATATTTGAGATACAAATAACTCTCCAGCCAATTTTACCAACACGCCTCACACCCACACTGAACACACCTCATATCGAACCTCTGCAGAAACACAGAAACTGAAGGGGCTGGAACGGACCCTAAAGATTATCTCATCCCAACGCCCCTGCCACGGGCAGGGACACCTTCCACTAGACCAGGCTGGCTCAAGGCCTCATCCAACCTGGCTTTGAACACTGCCAGGGCATGGGGCATCCACAACCTCCCTGGGCAACCTGTTCCAATGTCTCACCTCACTCACAGTAAGAAAGAAGATGAAGTTGAAGCCAGCCCCCAGCTCAGTCCTTACTCAGACGCTACTCTGGGCCGTGGCAGCACAGGTCAGCAGCAGCACAGTAACCCCAACAGCAGACAGCTTCCTATCTAGGGCAACAACAACAGCACGAGGAATTTCCACCCCCACCATTCATTCCTAACCTCTGTATCACGCACCTGGTCAGGTAAATAGTGTTATGCACATCTGGCACATGACCAAAGCTGTATCTTGATTATGAGTGCACTTTATATGAAGTATCAGGTATTAGGAACTGATAGTCCTGAGAAGAAGCAGGGCTGGGAAAGCAGACCTGCTGTAGTTTAATTTCTATCCAACTGTTTCTGCTGAGCTCAACGCAGGTCCCACTAGGACCTTCTGCAGAGAAGGAAAGTGAAGCCACAGCTCCCAGGCAATTCTGGCCACTGGCCAAGTCTTTTTCCATACAGTGTCTTTTAGTTCGTGTCCATATAAAACAAGCAAAAACAACTCGCAGCTCCAGCATATCCAGGATTAAGGCAAGGTCCTCCCATCCACCACTCAGACCACAAAGAACAGTCTAAGAAATGGCCCTGGTGCTGTCAGGCTCCATGGCCACCACAGATCATGACAGAAACCTGTCACACCAGTCCCAGTATGTGTTTTACTTTCAGTGTAGAATAAGTTACTCTGAGCGAGTGTCCACAGAAGGAATAACCAGTGCTGTGTTCAGCTTTCCTTTGTATGTGCCTGTCTGCAGAGTTCAACATTTTGAGGAAACACGCAGTTTCTAGGACTGTCAGCAGATTACGGGCACTCCTAATTCCCCTCCCCACCCCCAACCAAAAAAACAAGGAAACAAAAGCAACAGCAAAGTACTAATAATTCCTATCCACTGTAAAGCATAGCTCTACTAGCAGAGGAGAAATACTTTCTTAAGCTTTTCCTTCCATACAGCTAGTCTATTCCAAATGGCAATGTGAAGGAGAGCAACCCCAGTTACAGGGAGGACAAGAGGCAACTTGGGAACAAAGATGAACCAAAGCAGTCACTTTGCAGCTGCTCTATAACGCAGGAAAATTAAACAGTGTGGCCAGCTTTTGAGATGTGCCTTCCACAAAAAAGGTGGAAGACATTGCACCATCTAAATAGCATTCCAAACTATGAACAGACGGAACAAAACTGTAAATTTTGTTTCTCAGGAAATTGCTTTCCTCCTTCCATGCAACTTCCTTCTCTCCTGAGAAAACAAATGTCCTGAAGCACAGTGACCACATGCTTAGTGGAGTACACAATGAAGATCCCTTAATGATTAACTCCAACTGTTTTTTAGCTTAAGTAATGCCTTATTCAGAAGAGCTTTCTTATAAACAAGCCTCATTCATTTGTCAATTTAACTACCTAACTCTATTTATCATTAACTTCAATAGATTTTGCATGTTTACTTGGCTCAGGCTACTGTTTGGTATTTAATTTTAATATTAACTTCATTTAAAAGAGGTAGTATCTATTTTACTAGATACATATCTTAACAGATATCTTGGCATATACCCGTATGCAATGCCTTGCTGTAGTGATTGGCTCCAGAGTGGTTTCTCTAGTGTTATAAAAGGGCTGAAGCAAAACCCTTACTACAGGAGAAGGTGTCATCTGTTGAACTCTAATTATGCTGCAAATTTATAGCTGCTGCTGTGGGATTATTCAATCAGCAGACTTGCAGTATATGTTCCAGAGAGTGTTAAAGGTCATACATGAGTAAATTTTGCATGAGATGCAAACACCCAAATAGTGAAGACCTCATGAAACCCTCACCACAGGAGGGTTCCTGGGGGCACATCGTCTGTTTTAAGTTCATACAGTTCTGTAGTTTAAGACAACAATGAAGGGGAACTGATAAATACAAAGAAATGAAAGCTATGTTAAAAATGCATTAAATATTTTCCAAAATAACTTTTATGTGGAAATATTTAAGGCTTCTGTAGAACTGCGTTGAAATACAAACTTTGTATGCATGCACAAAAAGCAGAAGAAAAAAAAAGCACGAAACCAAACTTTGCTAACTGTCTCTTATTTGGGAGAAAAAAATTAAAACTTAAGATTTTCACATCTTCAGAAAAAAAAAAGAACGATGATTTTAATCATTGCAGTTAGTCTGACATGCCAAATCATAAGGATCAAACAGCAGAATCTAAAGGAAAAAAAAATCATATGTTTCTATGGCCTGTCTGTAGCTTTATTTGCTAATTTTTGCCCTTGAAATTGGCAAGACCACAATTGCAAGTTTGTCTACAACAGTAAATGACAAAGCATGTCATATTCTTATTTTTATGCTGCAACAGTCCAAGATGAGAAGAGCAAACAAGTAAGGAAAGACATTATCCTTACCCTGACAATCCTCTTTTACCACCCTCAGGGACTACAGCTCTCCATTTACTTTATATAAAGCAATCCTTAACTGACACCAAATTTCTCTGTAACCTCCATCTATATTTACTGAGCATCCTCACTGAACTATTTTGTACTATAACTCTTTTTTTCCTAACATAATTTAATTTTTCATATTTAATTTTTGTTTTCCCAAAAGTTATAAGCTATATGCTATACTATATGCTAAAATTATTACTGGGCAAACAGCAGCACTAGATCAGCAGAGGTCTGTGCAGCCGAGGCAGGGGTGTTGGGCAATGCACATGCACTCGTTTCCCAAACTGTCTTCAAAAATGCACAGAGTGGATGTTGTAGAACACCAAAAAGCAAAATTTATCACAGAGGAACAGGACAGCAGAAATATTCATCCCGCTTCTTGCTCTCCTTGAACAGGTGCTCCTGTGACGTGGCCCAGAGTAGCATGCGCTGAGCGGTGCAATCACCTCTCCTGATCAGCATCAGCCCATCTCCCGAGCACAGCTCCTCCTCTGCATCCCGGCGGGGGCGGGGGGCTCGGGGAGGGCGAGAGCCCCGCCGGGGCACCGGGCAGGGCCCCGGGAAGGCCTCGGCAGCGCCCGGGGAGGCGGCTCCCGCCCGGCGCCGAGGGACGGAAGGACGGGAGCGGCGGCAGCGGGTCCGGCCGACGGCGGGAGCGACCGCGCTCGGCCCCGCGGGCTGAGGAGGGGATGGAGAACTGCGGGAGGCGCCGGAGCTGCCGGGGAGCCCCGAGCGGAGCCCCGGCCCGGTGCTGCGCTGGCACGGGCAGCGGCGCTCCCGCCCGGGTTCAGCCGGGGCCGCCGACCCGACTCCCGCTCGGCACCTCCAGGCGGCCTTTTGGGGCCAGCACCCGCTCCGGGCAGCGGCCGGGGCCGCTCCAGCCCGCCCGGACCGGGGCGCCGAGCCCCGGTACATCCTCCCGGCCCGGCCCCCGGGAGCCGCGGCCGCAGGGAGGGACCTGACCCCGGGTAACCCCCGCTCCCTCCGGCTGACCCGGCCGCCCCCGCCCCTCTGGGAGCCCTCGCGGGCCCACCTGGCCCGGGAGCAGCGCCAGCCCCGCATCCCCTTCCCCGTGCTCGGGGAGACCCTCCCGTCCCTCGCCCGTCCTCATGCGCGGAGCGACCCTCCCGCCCCTCGCCGCGCCGAGATGCTGCCGAGGGGCAGAGCGAGGGCACCGCACCGGAGCTGCTCTGCCCCGGCCCGGCCCGTTCCGTTCCTTCCCCGGCCATCCCACACTCACCGCTGCCGGCGGAGATCGCGGCGGTACCGGCGGCGGTACCGGCTGCTAAAATGGCTGAGGGCGCGGGGGAGGAGCGAGCCCCGCTCGCCACCGCCAGTGCCGCCCAATCCACCCGCCGCCGCCGTGACGCGCGGGGAAGGGGCGGGGGCGGCCGGGCCGGGCCCCGCCGGGCGGGGGTCGCGGGGCCCCGGTCCTGGTCGGTGCTCCGGAGATGTCCCGGGGTGTCTCGGGGTGTCCCCGGTTCGCAGGCGGGTGGAAGGGGTTTCACGGACACCAGGCCGCGGGCCCCTGACCCGCTGCGGGGCCTGTTGGTGTGGTGTAAAGCTCCCAGGAGCCGAGGGGCTCTCGGGCCTACGGGCACGTGGCAGAACAAACCCCCGTCCTCACCCGGAGCCTCGGGCACAGCCCCTGCGCTCCCGAGCGGGCTCCGGCCGCGAGCAGCAAGGCCCCCGGTCCGGATCTTTCAGGCTGGAACAGACAGCTCAGAGGTTTGTATCCCAGTTTTGTCTCCTGACAAACTGGAGACCACCAAAGCCGAGGCAGAGGCCCCCTTGGTCTTTGTTCAGAACAGGAGAAATGGGTTTAAGCGGCAGCGATGACGAGAGCAACTGGGATTACTCACAGTGTGGTTCAAAAAGCCAGAGGCTACAAATATCCCCATGATTCATGCAAGAGTTTGCCAGATGGTTTTTCATGTTTTGGAGTCTGAGACTTCTTCAGAAGAGAACTGGCACAAAATAACTTGCTTTTGACAATGCCACTTCTTAATAACATGTAAAGGAAGAGGAAACATTCCATGCTCCATCTATGCCAAGCAGAAGTCCAGCACTATCCTCCCCCGCCCCATATGGACTGGGACAGAGTGTGAAAAAGCAAAATTAGCAAACAAGCCATTGCTATAATTGGTAACAGGAGTTTGCTCCCATAAAAGACAACACCTTGCAGGATGCTAAAATGTTCTGCCAACAACTGCACATGCAATGTCGATGTTGCATTTAATAATTCTCATTCTTAGAGAAGCCAAAAGCACATCACTTCCTCGGATGGAGGCTGAGCTGAATCACTGTGTGGGTTTTGCTCTGCTTGGACTATATGACACTTGGGGCAGTGTTATACTCTCACTTTGTTCTAATTTGTTTCAAACCCCATTGCTTTGCTTAATGTCAAATCATCACTAATGAGAGGACCTGGATTGCACAAGATGCCCAAAGGCATATCTATTTCACTTTTTTGATCTAACCTTCCAAAATACTTTGGAAAGGTTGGGCAAACCAACTTGCCACAATTTTTTTTTTTTCAACTAAAAGGCTGACACACGAGCCTATTTTCTAAATCTTTCTCTTAAACAGTACATGGGTAAGAAAAACTATTTGTAATTTGTTCCAACTATTTTGTACTCTCTATAGTCTTAAGTTTTGAATTAACTGAGCTTAGATTTACCATGATGCATCTGGCTAGTGTGTAAGGAAGCATGTCTTGTGCCTAAGCCAGCTGGAGCACTGGAGAGGCCACAATGGGTCAGATCAATGCCTGAGTTAGAACACAATGCTGTTTCTGGTGGTGTCTGGCCAACCCCTGAGGAGATAAGAGCTGCTGCAGCTCAGAGACCTTGAGCTGGATGTAGCCTATTTCTGCTCTTGATAGACAATGGAAGAAAAATACAATTGCTTTCTTAATCCATATAAGCTTCCAGCATCTATGGCTTGATGTAGTTCCACAGGAACTTCATGCTGGCTGGAAATCACTTCTGTAAGTTCTGTGCTTTCTGTCTGGTACTTCCATATGATGTCCCCTGACTTTTGCATTAATTAACCATGAATTATTATTCTCTCTGAACTGTCTCCATGCCACTCCTTGTTTTACAGATTTGTAACAGATTCTTTGCACTATTACCTCATTCATCTCTCTTCTAGGCTGACAAGTCTCATGTTTTCCAGGTGCAGTTTCACAGTGCCTCCAATAAATTTAAGTTGGAGCTTCCATCTCTTTACCGCAGACTGTGTGTCCTTGCTCCCACATGGATTTCAAGTGCTCCAGGTTGTGCACTTCTGCTGAGTGGAACTCTCCCCTCACCTCTCCCTTTATGCCCTCCTTATTGGAGACCTCACCAAGCCATGGGACCTCCTCATCAACCTCTTCTTGACCCTGAAAAAGCTGTGCCATAGCAAGAAGCTCAGTGGGGAACACTGATGCCTGCAGGGTTTGTCCATCATGTCCCCAGGCCAGGCACCGCTGACTGTCATCCAGGTTCAGTGGTGCTGTCAGGGATGCTCAAAAAAATGCTTTGTCTGTTTCAGAAGGATGAACATCCAGGTCAAACTAATAATCTCAGCAAAGTTGTAAACAAATTTTGGTTAATTACAATCTGAGGTGAAAGTATAACCTGTCACATTATCATTAGAATAATGAGTCCTAAAATTAAACTTACTACAGAGAGGGTGTCCAGATGAAGAGTCAAATATACCTTGTTCTGTGGAGGCTTTAGAAACATCACCATGGGAAACCTTTTCTGCAGCTACAGGTATGCAAATGCCCACTTGAATTACATAGGATTTACTGATGTAGAAGTTGCTCTTTTGTTTGTCATAAGAAATATTTACATTTAAACCAGTTCTTTGAAAGCCTCCAAACATTCTTTTTTGAAAGCGAAGCAGAAACATTTGCTCTTTTTAAAAATAAATCTATGGTCAATCAATAACACCTTGAGGATAACTGTGATACTTCCAAAGGCTTCAAAACAGCAAGCTAAGACAAGCCTATGGTCAGGAAGTTGACATTCACTATAAGATGTCTGAAATGTCTTTGCAAACATTTTAGAGGAGTCTTCAAACAAAAATTAAAACAGCCTTTATATAACAATAAGTCACGGTATCTTTAAAACCAAATCTGACTGAAAGGATTCTCATTTTCTCCCATGTTGCAACTGCTTTGTATTTTTCCAGTAAGAAATATCCAGCAATGACCTCTGTGGGATGTGATGAGTACAACAGCACTTCCCAGACAGTGAAATCATTCTGTACCGATGCTAATTTCCATCCTTATCACAGAAGTCAAAAAGAAGAGAAAGGTGTGTTGAGGAGAGACCGAAGCCAAGGTCTAGAAAGTCTCTGGTTTTCAGCCACGATTCAGCACAAGGTTGGAGAGAGTCAACAGCTTCTCACCTCATTGCTGATATCAGCAAAGGGATTGCATAATGTTAGCACTTTTTATCTAAGTGGTAAATCAGTATCTGGAACCTTGTGAATTGTTTATTTAAATTATGAGCAGTGGCTGGTGAAATCAGCTATTTCTTAAATACGAACCTGTTTCTTCACAGAGTGTACAGCTGGAATCAAAACAACAGAAAACAACTTTGTACACAAACTTGGTCATTTTGGAGCAAGGACTCCCCCCGAAAAGTTGCCTGAGTTTTGTCTCAGGCCGGTAAAATTTTAATGTGTTCCTTTTTCCTTTTTTTTTTGTTTTCAGTTGTATTTCTGCTATTTCTCAATAAACTTAGAGCACATCATTAAAAAGAAATCAAAAGCTGAAGCACTTTGGACCTACACTTTAACTCTGCGATCGGGACTAACGCACTTCTTTCCACTCCACATCTTTTTAAACCAACTCTCTGGTTTTAAAAGAAAACACAACAAAACCAACCTAGCAGTCAGTCATACACATTTGGTGTCACAAAGGATTACTGATCTCTCCCAAGAAGTGCATTCCAAGGAGGAATTTCAAGCAGGGGGAACTGAAGGATGGCTGTGAATAAAATGTGGCATTTTAAGAGAAGGGGCTGCTTCCAAACATATGATTTGTTTTGTTCTTTGATGGTTTTTGTTCAGCTAGTTCCACTCCCCCCTTAGACTTATACATGAAACCAGATTCAAATATTATCTGCAATCTGCTTATAACAAATTTCTATATTTTTACATAAAGAATAAAAAACTCTTATTGCATCTCCAGCCAAAATACTGGGCGTTTGGGGGAGGGAGCAGAGGGAAAGTAGAGACAAAGTCTGATAGGTTTTCTGAACTGAAATCCTGTAATCAATTTTGTTCCCCTGAGGTACACAAATATGACTTCTCACTATGAGTCACTGTGTAGAAAAATGAACAGCAGCTTGCAAGCACTGAACATATACTTGCATTATGTAATTACATCATTGGTTTAAGCCATATTCCATGCATGAAGCAGCAACATGTACCTGCTTGCACATAACACCTGTATTTTGCAAAAGCATCGCCTTCATTACCTGCTCAGATGTGTGCCATGTTTAGAGCTACTTTCTTTTCCAGGGGTAATGCCTGACAGTAACATTCTGCCTGCTGAGGCTTCAAGACACCAGAGCAATGAGAGCACATGAATTCTGGTTTTCTTTTTTCCCCCATAATTCTCTTCTCCAAGCGGTTATCTACTGATCTTGGGTCCAACCAGCACTCACAGGCAGTAGCAGTGAGAGTGGCACAAAGCCAAAGGGGAGTGCACCTGCACTGTTCTCTTATTCTACCATTTACGACAACACTGAAATGCCCCATCTGGAGCAAAGCCTTAGAGTGTTAGATCCCAAACAGGATGCAGTATGAACAAGGAATGCCTGACTGGAGAATATACATTTTAAGAAGGGAAAGCAGTATTGACAGAGATATTTTTGATCTATACCACAATAAATCTAAGGAAAGATGTGGCACTCTGAATTTAATTTTGTTGGTGCAAACAGTTACATGTCTTATTAGTAGAACAATCACTAGATTTAAAATGGATTTTAGAGGGAACTTTGCACAAAGAAGACTTTGAGTAGTTATCACATAATGAAATATGTTCTAGTGCTGCCTAGAGACATTAAAAAGAAATAAAATGAAATGGTATAAAAAATGAAATGTTTTATGTAAGTTTTCACAAGATCCAGTCTAAAGTGCACAACCACAATTAACAGCCACAACAAGCCAGACTTACTACAAAGAGCCCATTAGATTAGGATAGATTAGGGCTAAAAAATTGTCTTCTTCCAGTCTGTTCCAAACTTTCATCATCAATATCTCTTGAGTATTACAGTTTCCTTTAAAGGAATCATAGCATTTTAAATATGATGCCCTAATTTAGTATGAAACCATTTGGGAATTCATTAGAGCAAAGACTAAAATTCAGTGAGGACCTTGACCTCAATAGTTTTTCTATTTACATATGTGATGGCAGAAGTTTGTCTTGATAGAAACAGCAAGGACAGCTCCTAACTGATACTTTTTTCCACAATAATTTTTTTTAATTTAGATAGTTAAAAAAAAAGAATTCATGTTAACTCTGTTCCAATTTTTCATCTGAGCTCAATTTTTATAAAAATACAATACTCTATTTCAAAAAATAACACAAGTCCTAAGCATGTGTGTCTGTGGGCTGGCTGCCACTTCCACTGCATTTCCAAGGTACATGAAACAGGGAAGTACAAGCATGTGATGTTCCCATGCATATAATTCTCACAGGGAGCAGTTGCATGTGCACATAATTCTCCGAATTTCTATTGTGAGAAGTACTGTTGGTAAGGTTAGAATGACTCAACTTATTGCTTATCTGTTTGTAGTCATTCCTGTAAGCCTCAGGGGCAAATATGCATCAGTAGATTGCATGAAGGACAGACCTAATCTCGTGCCCAAACCATAGTTTGGTGCAGAAAGGAATACTTACTCATTTTACAGTAACTGGCTTCCTACGCAACAATTCATCTATTACACAAAGATTAAATGGTGTGTTTCTGTTGGGTTTTGCTATTTCATTTCTTAAAGCAAAAAAATATAACAAATAGTCCTTAACACTGACAAACTGTGAGCTCTTTTCTATACTTATTCACTTAAAATTACATCTAAGAGAAATTTCTGAAAATTATTTGGTAATAGATTCGCAATCTACTTATACAAGTTTTATGAAGTCATCTTGTTATTATGAACAGCCTTGTGTGTGATTTCTTTTAAACAATCTGCAAATGACTCTTGGAACATCTGTTTCCATGGTTGTAAATCCCTATAAGAATCAGTACAAACTAATCCTGCTTTCATCAGATATACTCTCTTTTTGTTTCAGAGATTGCTGTGCCCAGAGGGTAAAATGATGGAGCCTCAACACAAAACACTAGCCCAAGGACACAAGTGTTGTATATGCTTTAAAGCAAGCAGGTATCCTTCCCGTACTAAAATACTCTGCACATCCTGTCTCAATTACAGCAAGCTGCCAATCTGCCCTGACATGCTCCAGCAGTTCTGTCTCAGCCTGTTCCTGAACTTGCAAGGGAGCCCTTACAAGACAGTCTTGCAGCTTTCTGTCATGATTTACTGGACAGTGTACCTATAAGAAGCTCATTTACCCAGCTTGTCAAAAAAGTCAGGATTTTGACAGAATTCAAATTACATTCTTTTAATTCTACCTTTGCAGCAAATCTTTCAGTCATATCTTGTTTTTTCTAGCACAACCTCTTTCTTCAGAGGCTGGTTGATCACTGCACTGTTTGCCATCAGCCCAGCACAGTTACCTCAATAGCACTGTGGACCGTTGAAAAAGGAACACAAATTCCAGGAGAGAAGTGTTATTTATGCACAGTTTGCAGTAGTGGTACAGACCCCTTCAGCAATTTTGCATTTTACACTAAACAGTGTAAGAAAAATATGATTCTTTTTTCTTGGTCACCTTTTTCAGATTGTTTAGAAGTCACCCACAAAACATTCCCCACATAAACTTTTACCTCTCCTGTCCACTTAGGTCTATAAATGCTCTTGCTTACATGGACAAAGATGCCAGAGTAGCAAGTTCCTACATTCTTAATAGCATTTTCCAGTCAACAAGTCAACATTTCCTTTGCATAGTAACTTCATTGTCAAAATCTTTGCATCTAAATTGATCTGTTTCCATTCTAACCTTTGTGGTACACAGAACGTCTGCCCATGAAAAAGAACAGAAATGCCAGACAAAGATGGGAAGTGCTGCTTAACACTGTGTCTTTCAAAAAGATATTTGAAATTCTTAGCTTAAAAAGCTTCCTGTGAGATCAAGGATTTGACTCAGCACTCAGATCTGTAAAGTAAAAGCAGTTTTAATGGAGAGTCCAGGTAAAATTCAGTCTGTAACACTGTGGTAAAGGTAACAAAACTATGACTCTTTTAAATGCTCACACTTGTGACATGGACTTCCCTTTTGCCATGAAAACAGAAGAGAATTCTACTTACACAATCAGTTTGTCATATCAGTGGCTGCTACCTACGGGTACATGTTGTTCCTCAGGTTTACAATTAACGTCATACAGGCAAGAAATATTAATAGAATATGCTTCATTTACACAATACCTCTAAGGACAATGCTTTTGTTTCTGTCAGTGGTTCTATTACAAGTTGATTCTTGGAGTCAGTTATTTAATTTATTCACATGACACTATATATGCAAATTGTTTGCAAAAATAATTGTTGTAGTAGTTGTAGAAGTAAATGTGTGTGAATGAAGCCAAGTTCTGACAGTGAGTTCACAGGCACTGGGTTGGGAAGGGGAACTACTGGATTCTGAGCTGTTCTCTGCCCCTGCTCCTCTTGTATTCAGAACCCAAAACTGCCCGAAAGCAGACACCCCCCATATCTGCCATGGGATCTGGCTCCACAGGCCTGCCCAGGTATCAGTATTACACACAGCTGACAAATACCCTGATAACAGTTTCTTCTTGTTCAGATGAACAGTATTCCTTACCTGCCTATTTTCTTACCAGACAATGATAGTTAAGAAAGATGATGCCGGGGAGTTTCAGCTTTAGCCAATGTTACCTAGATAATTTAACTCCTTCATTATTACACAATAGAAGCATCCTCACATAAAAGACTTGTAGCAGCTTGAGAAAATGAGAAGGCAGTGCAAAAATAGACAGGGTAACAAAAGGTACATTATACCCACTGAACAAACAGCCTGAGCAATTCCATGTCTTACCAAGTTTTAGAATATTATTTTCATTACTTCATCCAACCATATTACTGGGCCTGATGAGATGCCTCACTTATCTCCTCATTATCAAGGCTACAAACAGCAGAATGTATGAATATTTTTCCTTCAGGCATTATTGATCAGCACTGACAGTAACACCCTGCAGGAGATAAGTTGGGAGTAGCCCAAATGTCAGTCCAGGACACAGAGTTCAGGAAAAGTGTTAGAGGATTTGTGATGAACAGGAGGCTTAAACAGTTTTGAACCAACCACACGAGATTTAACTTTAGACTTATTATTTTTCTATGGTGTAAATGGCAATTCCTCTTAATACTGGATTAAAAAGTTTAAAATAAGCAAGCCATATTCAATACCTCAGGAGGTCTACAGTAATAATACCAACTAAGCCTAATAACCTCCTAAGTCTGTGGGTCTAAGACATTGCCCTGGGTGTTAGGTGATAGCTCAGCCAAATGGGAAAAGTCACATTCAGGCAAATAAACAAATAGTTTTAGCAAATCAAGTTTTAAATGCCTGCCATTAACCCAAAGTAATTATAAATAAATGCTGTAAAGTTTTTAATGATCAATATATTCCCAGAAGGATTCCTGCTTTTTCCCCCATGGGCCAGGCAAGGAAATTGAACAAGGATGTGAACAAGGATGTGTAATACTCAATAATAATGTCATGGTTTTTAGACCTGTCTGGAGACAGAAAGGGTGCAAATGCTGCAGCTGGTGAGAGGAACTGCTGAGAATTATCATTCATGACATTTCAGAGCAAACTACCCCGCTTGCAAAGAAGATATGAACCTCTCCCCTCCCTTTTCCTAACACATTCCCCTTTTAAGGTTCAAGGAGGGAAGAATTAAGAGGAGAATGAAGAGGAGAGGGAAGAATTACATTTCAGGAATTAAATTTCAAGATCTGTTAG